ATTTTGGTCGTGAGATAATTTGTGACGAAATAATGTTTGGATGAGATATTTTGTCCTTAGATATTTTATCCTGAGATAATGTGTCTTGCGATATTTGGTTCTGTGATATTTAGTCCTGAAATATTGTGTCCTGAGATATATTGTCCTAAGATATATTGTCCTGAGATATTTTGTTATCAAGATGATTTTTCCTGTAACCCTTTACACAAATAATTTTTGAAGCTATTTTGCAGAGCAATAAAATATTTAAATACATTCGTAATTCTTTTTTTTAAAAGAATTGCTTTAATTGTCAAATAGCAAAACTAAGGATATAAAACAATTTATTAAAGTTCATGAACGCATACAAGTATGATTAAAAACGTTAAGATGTAATTATTCCAGAATTTCTTGCACTCAGCATATTTTCAGATGAGCACTACTCCTCCATCTCTCGTCAACTGGCCTCACCCCAGTAAAATAATTTAAATTAAAAAATATATACTTAGCCAACCCAGGACAAGTTAGTCAGTCCCTCGAAAGTTTCAAGTGCACCCCCCCCCCCACCCTTAACATTAAGCATTGAAAGAAATTATGTGCAGGTCTATTCTTGTATATTGGCGTGCTGAAGTGCTTAACGAATGTCTACGAGATATGTTATGGGTAAACCTTTGGACTTGATGACCCGTTGATTTGACGGATCAGAAATTATAGCTTAATTAGATATCTAATTAGAAAAAAAAATATTATTGTATTTACATCCTGAGTTTCTGCCTCCCAAGAAGCTTCCCAAGTAGCAGAGACAGCAACCAAGAGACCTATACACAGGAACAAGACGATGGTTTTCATGTCTGGCACGCTTTGGAATAAGTATCTGTTTAAAAAAGGAATAACTTCAAGTAGGAATAACAAAAGCACGTATATATATATATATATATATATATATATATATATATATATATATATATATATATATATTTAACTAACGTGGATTTCTGAAGTTCTACGAAAGTCGAATGAAAATGTTAATGAGTAGTTGGTACTTATACACAATTTGTCAAAAGGTATGCGGGTAAGATATTAATGAGGAGATAACATAACGGAGGTTCTCAAAGCGTGTATAATGTGCTATTCGTTTTATGTTGAAACGTTCACCTATAAACCATATCGATTGTTATTTTAAAATATCCATGTTGGATAATTAGTGTCTGTAGAAACAATCAACAAACTGGATACAAGCCCTTATTTCTCAGACCACAGGCTACTTTTGTTGTAGGTAGACTACACATTTTATTCCAGAACCTTCTATTAGAACCAGATACAAAACTTAGCCCTGTACTGTCCCAATATGTGAGGTCCCTTTACAATTTACATACAGCAGATAGCACCCGTATAAACGATTTTGTAATTTTATAAAATTATGCAGGGATTCAACTGATACATTAATAGCATACTAGCTAAATAGGAAGAAGTATGCGCGCTAAAATCTAAAAAAAAAAAAACAGCAGCTGATAATGTGTTCTGATAAGCCGTATTTTACATTAATATTCAGCCGAATCTTTGCATAATTGATCACACATCAGCTAATCTTCTCATAAACGTTTCTATTAACATTGCACACATTTTTGTAAGGTTGATCTAGCCGTAAGCTAACTTTGGGACATTTACACCATACTTGCCAAACTTACATTGTCTACCTAATTATTACCTAAAGTATTTTTTTCAAAAAGCTTTTAGTATTATAAGTTAGCTCCCCTTGATATTTTCGAAAATTGATTTTTTTCAAGAAGGGGTTTCAATGACATTTTCAGTGGAATCCTTCAGAAATATCTACATGCCTGCCGCCGCGAAATTTAGTGCGCCCAAACCTCGAAACTTTCGAAACCACTCGAGTTTACAGGTAATCGCTCAAATACTAAAGGAAACCTTTATCGAGATTAAAACCTTCAAGAAGTTATTTTGCGTCTACCTGACTTGACTTACTTTACTTGACTTAATCCTATTTGCTCCTTATGGAACATAGCGCCTCCACCATTTCCTTCCATTTCTTCCGATCCCCGGCTATTATTTTTGCCATCTCCAAAGACATCCCTGTTGGCTTCAGTTCGTCAAGAAGACTCTGCCTCCAGGTCTGTCTTGGGCGCTCTCTCTTCCGCTTCAATTCAAGCGCTTGTCGTGTAACATTTGGGTGAGCATTTCACAGTGTGTGGCCCAACCAGCGCCGCTTCCTCCTTCTTATTTGCACACCCATAGGCTCCTGCCTTGCTTTCTTCCATAATTCTATGTTCGGCACTTTGTCCTGCCATCTCAGTTTCAATATCTATCTAAGGCATCTATTCATGAAGGTCTGTATCTTTGCTGTGCTTGCTTTAGAGACTTTACATGTCTCTGCTCCATACAGCAGAACTGCCTTGACATTTGAGTTAAATATCCTAATTTGTTTGGTAATGGAGATGGCAGAATTTTTCCATATGGGCCGCAGAACTGTGAAAGCGTAGCGGGCTATAATAATTCTAGCACGTATGTCCTCCTCTGTGCCTCCCGTTTTGCTGAACTTGCTGCCAAGGTAGACAAACTCTTCCACATCATTTACCCGTCTTCCGTCTATTTTCACTGGGGCCTCCTGGTTGTTGTTAATTCTCATCATTTCTATCTTTTCTTTGTTGATCTTGAGACCTACGCGCTGAGAGATGGCTCCTAATGCATCAAATTTTTCTTGCATGTCTTGTAGCTTGTGCGAGAATAAGGCAAGATAATCTGCAAACTCCAGATCTTCTAGTTTCCCCTGACTAGTCTACCTGACTAAACCGGTACAAAATTATCGTTTTCATGTTAACAATGTGGTGCACAGACACGTGGATTTTACCAACACAGGAAGGTGTAAATGTTACCTTTTTTATATAGTAAAAATAATGTTACACACATTGAAAATTATATCTTATGCCATCTAAAATTAACTTTTCTTCTCAGAAAAATGGGTATAATATAGCTTTTATAAAACGCTAGCATCGTATTTTGTATGGTGCCCTGTCAAAACGGCCCGGGACAATTCGGCCCCGTCAAAACGGCCCCGTTAATATGACCCCGTCAAATCGACCCCCGACAAAACGACCCGTCAAAAGGGCCACGACTTATTGGCTCCTGTCAAATAGGCTCTCGTTACATTGACTCGCGATATATAGGCTCCCGACAAATGGGCTCCCGACATATATGCTCCCGACGTAAGGGCTCACGACAAATGTTCTACCGTCAAATGGGCTCCCGACTTATTGGCTCCCGACAATTAGGCTCCCGACATATTGGCTTCCGACAAAATGACTCAGGACATATTTGCTCCAGGCAAATGAATACGGCATGACCACTATTGGCATAAAAGTAACAATTTTGTCCTACCTCCACTACTACTATAACCTTTCTTAAATACCAGAATGAAATTATTTTTCATTAACTAACATCAATTCACAAACAAATCGAGCCCTTAACACCTAAATTCTCACAAATTCTAAACTTTTGATAATGTTTAATTTACAACAGTAAAGATCTGTTGCTTAAAAGCGAGCACAGATGTGTAAATGTATGATATACATGATGTTTACAGGATAACGGCATTTTGTTTTGATAACCTACAAGCATACTGCAGGTATGAATGTACAGGGTGGACCCCTCTCCCCACACACAAAGTTGAAACAGCCTATAACCGACTCATTTATGGAAGTCATAGATACTATTTCTTATAATAGATAAACTATTATAAAAATAAGGCCTGCTGAACAAGATATGCATACCTTGTATTACTTAAGAGTGTCGGATAAGCTAATTCTAAAGAATATTGATGAAGGGGTCCCACTGGCAGGTGTCATACTCAATGAGACTGTTTTGCTGGGAGACTTAGTCTCTTCAGAAACCGTATTGTCGGTGGTCCTTTAGTAGGGAGCCAAATTGACAGGAGCTTTTTTGTCGTGATCCAAAATGGCGGGAGCCTATTTGCCGGGAGTCGTAATGATGGGGTCCGTTTTGTCGAGAAACTAAATGACGGAAGCCTATTTGTCGGTAGCCTAAATGACGGGAGTCTATTCGCCGGGAGCCGATATGACAGGGTCCATATGCCGCTGGCCGTTTTGACGGGGTCAATTTGACGGGGCTCTTATGTCGGGACCGATTTGTCGGGGTCGTTTTGACGGGGCCGTTTTGTCATTGGCCGTTTTGACGCCGCACGATTTTGTATACTTCAGTATTATATATATATAATATTAATTCGGCAAGGTATAGTGAAAAATAATAGTTTGCATTAGGTTAAATTATGCTCATTTGTAGTGAAAAGCTGGTAATGGTACTTACAAAGATAGGAGGTAAATGTAGTTACAACTATAGGAGGTAAATGTAGTTACAACGATGATGCACAACGTAGATATTTTGTGATACGTGATCTATCAATAAAGTGACATGTAAGTAACGGATGTAACTGATAAAAAATATTTCCTGAAAATGTAAGCAGGCTGAGATATTTTACCATGCATTCTGCTGTCTGATTGACTGCTTAATTGTCCGTCTAATTAAATAATTTAATTATTGTATCTGATTCCTAAATCAGTTCAGCTGAGTAGAATATTTTAATATTACGCATATGTATATACATCGCGTATATGCGGGTGGTGCGTGCAATATGCAAATGGTCAAAGGAACCTGGTACTTGAGAATGTAGACCCCCAGAATTTTAAGTTCTTTGAACAGATGAAGTAGGAAGAAAATAAGTTGTGTGAGTTCAAGCCCAATCTCTCAGGCTATGATAAGTATCTGTGTCGGTGTTGCCTGATGCCTCTTTCCTTTAGCACTCGTTATACGGCGTTGTTAATTACAATTACATATTGTAACGTTCTGTTGCGAACTTTATGAAGTAAAACGTACAACATAATGTTACAGTTTGAGAACCGTCATTATGTTATCTCCTCGTGAATATGTCACCAGAATAACTTACGACAAATTATGTATAAGTACCACGTTCTCGGTGCAACGTTAATACAACTCCCGCTCAAGTTCATATATCTACGTACGTGTAAAGTCAACTCTACAGACCAACTCTACCATGAAAGTCTTCACCATTTTCCTGTGTATTGGTCTCTTGTGTGCTGTGTCTGCTTATTGGGATACAGAAACTCAAGAAGTAAGTTTTATTCTAACGTCAGAAAATGTAACCCTCATTTTCGTTTAATGTAACTTAGTCATTGTGTAAATTATTTAGACTTATATTAACAGTCTACCATCATTGCATCGGAACTTAGGTTTTCATTCTTACATGATTTATAGTTAATTACTTGCCTAGCGAAAAATTATACCAATCAATGTGATACTTTGAATTTATTTTAATGTATTTTGTATTTTGTTTAAAGCAACTGGAATGTATAAACTTTTTATTCACCATTTTGTTAAAGATTGTATTCAGCTTTTTTTTCATCTTTTACTCACTCACAGGGCAAACGTCTAGTTCTCCGTGGGGAGAAGAAATATACCGACTGGGTGGGGGAGAGGGAGGCTGAGCAGCTGGCCCCCAAGAAGAGAAAGGTTGTCTCACCGTACTGATGTGATGTGTTTGGTGTATAGCACAATAAAATACCAATCATGGTGACTAGTTGTAGTTTTCTTTTATTTTTATGTTTTATATTGAGTTACCGGGATAATTGGGTTAGTTGCGCCAAAAAGATAATTATAAAAGTGGATCTTGTCTATAGGTGTAATGGTGTATAAGCAAATGTGTACTTACATGTACATATACTGGTGAGTGTGTGTGAGTGTGTGTGTTAGCTTTACGTGTGGGTGTGTGGGTGTGCTTGTGTATGTGAACGTGAACGTGCAATTAAAAATGCTCGTCTGTATGAGTTGTTTGGATTGAGGACACTGAGTATATCAGAAAAAAAAATAATGGTAAGACATCGTTTTAACAAAATGATAGATAAAATACCACATGATACAATTTAAAATGCAAAATTACTTCTGAACAAAATTTTAAAACATAAAATATGACAGTTATATGAGTATCATTTCTTCGACCCTCCTTCCATATTGGACTGAGTGGTTGAGAGTTTTACTTCTTGTCTGAAAGTCTGGAGTTCAGATCTCGGTTTAGAGTCCTGACTGCAGTGTGTCATTTCATCAATCGAGACTCACGTTACGAAACTTAAAGTTTTTGGAATAATGTAATATTTAAATCAAACAATTTTTAAACATTAGAATGACACTAAATTTTTAATAGCACATCACTTTTTAATCACCTCAAGGCACAGTTGTTCATAGTTATTTCGTCAAAACTTTACTCAATTGTATCTACTTAATTTAAGAAGGTGCTTTTCTAAGAGATTTTAAACTTTTTTTTTTTTTTTTTTTTTTTTTTTTTTTTTTTTTTTTTTTTTGCCTCAGAAATGTAATTTACAGCGTCAGTTGTGTGTTCGCTTTAGTATTAGAGTTTTCATCATCGGCTTGTGAGGAATGATACAGATTTACAATAGTAATATTTTCTTCTTACTTGTAGCCTGCTTTCATTCATTTAAGATGGTTTACTTATACATAGATCTAATACAAAACGTCTAAATATAAAGAAAAAATAAAAATTAAAAACCCACCTGAAACTGAAAATGCAAATGTGTAATTAAATGATGATTCAAGGGATTTTTTCTTTTCTCGGCGTGCGTGGTGGGCTGAGGGGACGGGGGACGGGGGGGGGGGGTGGAATTTGGGTTTTTAAGTAGAGCTGAACAAAAAAAAATGGGATTACCGAGAATTAAAATTATACAAATTTTTAAGCAATCGGAAAAGTTATGTTATTACAATGAGACACATCAAAGCAAACATTCTTCCCTTTCAAACATCTATATCTGTACAGTCCTCAAAAAGTTTTTTTTTTTTTGAAGACGAAGAGATTTAAAACTCATCCCGAATTTACGAGAGTTAACCAATCGTCTCTGATGCCGCTTGGCTTATAAAAGGTATATAACAACTTAATGTATTTTATAGTCGCCACTGTTTTTACTCTTTTGCAGAATGTAAAGAAAATATTATACACACGCAAATTTCTAAAACATATGAAACGGATCAATATGAAATAATATTATCGCTTAGTTAACTAGAAACATTGGATACATTTTAATAACAGTAGGGTCAAAAACTTAATTAATTGAACTGTTTTGTAATTTTGACAGGGTAGGTAATTTTAAAAAATTCAACTCACGCTAATAAAAAAAATGTGAATGCAAATTATGCGGACTCTAAACAGGACATTATTGTTAGAATATTATAATTAGCATAGATTTATAAAAATGCACCGTGGTAGGTAAAGCATGGATATTTTAAATATTTTATGTATAAGTTGGGGTATTATAGCCGTTTTGGTGTTTCCACCGGTGCCCCGGCTGGTGCAATTTACCGCCCCAGGCTGGACTGTGAGCACTATGTGTTTATGTTTTCCATTTAAGTTGTGTTTATGTTATGCGTTTGCGTTTTCGTTTTTTTGCGTTTGCATTTGTGTTTGTATTGTGTTTGTTCATGTTTTTTCTTTAGTGTTTGAGTATTGCGTTTGTGTTTTTGTTTTTGTTTGATTGCGTTTGCATTGTTTTTGTGTTGTGTTTGTCTTTTCTTTTGTGTTGTGTTTGTGTTGTGTTTGTTTTGTGTTTGTGTTGTGTTTGTGTTGTGTTTATGTTGTGTATGTGTTATGTTTGTGTTGTTTTTGTGTTTATTTTGTTCTGTTCCCAAGTGGGTACATTTAAAAAAGAATTACCGTGGCGGGGCAACGGTATGCAGGTAGTATACATATACATATGTATATATTTTTGTAAGTATAGATATAGATAAATATAGGTATTGTTATGTTTACACCAACTCACTGTCACACAAACACGCTATCACATCAACTCACTGACAAACTTTCACACCTAGTCATTGTCACACTGTCACACAACCTTCTCTCATAAGAACAATATCTAACGCTATATATCTTCGCTGTGCTTGAGCCAAACTTAACAACGATAGTCTAACAAAGCAAAACTGAAGTGTCTGCACACGTCACACATTGTGTTTGTAACTTTGATATTCGCTAAAAACGAATTCGTTGAAAGTTAATTGTATTGGGGGAAATCCCTTTCCAAAATTACAGTTAAGAATGTAGAAGAATAATACTATATTATATACCGCACAATACTTCTAAACCTAACGTTTATTATATGATCTTTGCAAATAAAATTTCACACACAGTCTGAGATGAGTCAATTCATATCTACTATGACAGTGTACGACATGAAGATGTTGATGGAAATGTTTTAAGAATCATTTCCGGCGACAGTTAAACATCGGCTTTCAGAGCTTTTGATTCACTCACTAAACTCAGGTTCCGCTGTTAATCTGACATTGTATTGTTAGCTATACACTAGTTCATTGTGTCAAAATCAAACTGTTTTAAAAAAAAAACTAAAGTAATTAAATGTTCCATGATTCTAAGATTGGTGTTATTTCAAATTATAAAAAAACAAATAGATTTTAAAATGTCTGTTTCAAACCTAACATCATGTAAAACATGAAGTATTGCCTATTAATAGAAGTTTACAAGATAAACGTCAAATTTGTATCAAGTGGCCTTGGATTACAGATAATAGGATCATTTTACTTGTTTTTTTTTAATTTTTCTTATTAATTGTGTATTGATGGTGAGATTAATTGCCGTTAAAATTGGTGACATTCTATTTTCGATAAACTATTAAGATGAAGATATATTCAAGCATATTGCACATGATTTTTATACTATCAAATATTTCAAGTAAAGGTAAGTGTGATCACATAACCAACATGAATGTAAATAACCATTGATTAAGTTGGGACCTATCAGAACTATAAATATCCTTGACAAATTAAATAGTCTGAGGCACGTCACGAGAGTAAAGTAGTAAAGTTCCCTTTCAAACCAGACGGTCTATAGGTCAAGTGAAGTAGAGTTCACTTGTTTCTGTGACCTCGGCATATGAAGGGATAGTGTGGTCAGCACTATGCCCAGCCGCCTTTACTTACCCTAACGTGAGTTAGGTACCCATCAGAAATGGGTGGACTAATGGACGGTCTACTGACTTGAACCCGGATTCGAACTCGAGACTTACGTCACGAGAGAACTTAACCAATTTCTGATCAAAGGTTAAACAGTCATGAAAACCTAATGAACAAAACAGTCTTGTTTGAAAGAAAACGTCGCTGAAATCAAACCTGACAAAACGTAGTTTAGTTGAGTTTTCTTGAGAACTACGTGAATAACTAAATAATTTTAGGAGGGGCGAGGCGCAAAACTGACAGTTCATCCCGGGCGTCGAAATGGGTTGCTACGCATCTGTCCCCTATATAATGGAAACATACATTCCACCATCCAGATTGAAGCTCGTATTAGCATCAAATGTTTCGCCGAAGCATATAAGAGTGATTGCTATGTAAACATTTATGCTTGAGATTAACGCGCTTCAATAATCTACGCTGTATTTAATGCTCACAATTTTTTTAGGGATGGTTTATTTATGTTACTGATATTATTTCGCTTTTTCAGTAATTGTAATATTTTTTTTGTTCTCAGGAGTTCTAGCAAATACCTCAAATATGTCGTTTGTATGCCCTTCAGCTGCAGAAGGCACTTTAAACTTAACTGTACACTGTATTACAAGAATGGCAGACACTACAAAGTACAAGGGATCCAGTATCTACAGTTCCAGATACTCCATGAAGTGTAACTCTACCACATGCTATTCCAGTCCAGGGATCAAAGGTCATGTTGTGATCAATTCTACTCATGTTGATACAGTCATGTTGATAGATGTTGTTCAAACGTTTCACGCTGGGATGTGGGAATGTGATAATAAATTATTACGTGAATTTTTATTCAAGAACTGTTTCATGGAGATTTACGGTAACATGCAGTTTTTTTAACTCTTTACCTATTTAAAATTCAATTATTTTTAATAAAAAAACTAGATATTTTAAGTTTTAACGATATTGTGTACAGTTTTCACATAGAAAACTAACGTTCGTCAAGTTGGTTTAAAAGCTGACGAACACAACCACTATCATATGAGGAATGAAAAATACCGGACGTGTGTGTATGTGTATTTATGTGTGCGTGTGAGTGTGTGTCTTTGTTTTTTTTTCGGTGAGGATAATGGGTGACACTGAATAAAAAGTTTAATGTGAATTGTTTTTGCTAGTAGGCTGATAGACAGTTATGTGTTGCGATCATGCATGTTTTCAGATGTGATGGTACATGGGAATAGGTGCGAAACTCCCCATGCAAATGTTTTAAGGGCTGAAGTGTCTTCTAAATGTATATCGCTTTAAAAAAAGAAAATAATTGATAAACAGTAAATTGTACAACCAATAAGAAAATTTGAATCAAGTCCAGTGTCAGAAAAATCTTGCGGTAAACGAAGACGATTTCCATTGCGTTGAGTTTATGGTCATTAGGCTAGATGCATCTTGTTTATGAAAGGCGCGTTTTTTATGCCAAACATGTTCATTATCAAAATGCTACTATATGTCCTAAAATTCAGACGCCTGTGTGCTGCAAGAGAAATATAGACATTCTCTTATACTATGCTTTTAACAAAGGATCTG